AGAGGCAAAATGAAAATGCTTTATTTTTGAAATTCAGTTGGTCACTGACATTCAAATAAATATTAAAAACTATACTTCATGATTGGAGATGCACAAGAACACCCAAACTTGCAGATAGTACGCATTTAACCTAGCTCAACAGCTTGACAATCAGAATTCTCGACTATAAGGCGATTAAAATGGAAACGAGGGTAAACTGCTACAATTTGATGAACTTGACCAAACTTATCAATGTAGTAGTTCAAAATACAAACAGAGAAGGAAAGTGTCTTCACATCAAGTATCAATGCTATCCCGTCTTTACACAGGGTAGATAGGGACGGGCAACTTAGACATTGGCTACCTAAAATGAGGGGGTAATAAAGGCACGAAGTGACTGGCTCAACAGGCTTTCAAGAGGGAGCTTAGTTTAAAAGTGTGCAGGGGAAGATAAAGTCCCCATTGAATAGTTTTCATCTTGTCTAGATGGGTCTGGTAAAAAGAGATGGGGATTTGGGTGTTGGGGAGAGCAATACAAGAAGGGGGAGGAGGTGGCAGAACAAGGTAGACAGGGGAACACTGAGACAGATTTGCATGGCCTAAGTGGGACAGAGGTAAATAGTGATACATGCTCAACCTTGGAACTACAGGTCTCTGTGATACAGGCATCTAGGCATAGTTTGAAGAGAGGAAATAACACTAAGATGCTGGACTGTCTTGTGAATATTGGTTTCCCTTGCCTACTGCTGTAAAATAGATACTTGAGTAGGATAGAAAGGAATGTTGGGAAACATGATTACAGAAAATTTGTAAGCCTGTCTTCAGTCTATACCTGACTGGAATACCTAAAACGGGTTCTAGAACTTGCCCAGTTAAATAGGCCTCTTGTGGAGCCTTTGCAGAGTATAGGACCCTAGGTGGAATCCTGAGTCCCATTCAGAACCTTCTGAAATGGGACATTCCCACTAGCAGGGACAAGCAGACCAGCCTGGAACAGCTAGAGCAACAGAAGATACATCTTCAGAGGAAGATCAGCAGGAAAAACCCAAAACAAAAATGTCAATACTACAAAATAATAAATTTGTTCACCAGGAAGCTATCAAGGCAAGCAATCAAGTTCCATCAGGACAACCCCCCCAAGACTGAAACTCAAAGGGAACACATGAGCAGGCATGTAAGTTTGCTGGTGACCACATTGGTCAACTGGTGAGTAGAAGAGGGGCAAAGGCAGCAATGGAGAAATGGGCTGAGTTCAACCACTGTCCATTGACTCCCGTTGACCTGGAGATGAGAGAGAGAAGAGGAAAGGCTGGTTGGTCCAAAGTACGTTAAACCTGGGAACACCTGAGCTCATGGACAAGGATATAGCCACAGAAGGTTATAGCTAAGAGTGAAGCATCCAGCTGATATGAAGAGAGGGGAGATGCACAAGAACACACAAACTTGCAGATAGTACCCATTCGACCCAGCCTCGATGGTTTGATACTCAAATCTTTGGAGAAAGATTACCAAAAAAATAAACTCTTAAAGAAAATCTGAATATCCCAGCAACAAAGTAGCTTTTATAGAGTGGAAAATGGGGAAAAAAAAAAAAGTGAGTATCATTTTGAGTGGTTTTAGAACATCCAGAATTAGGTCTACCGTCCTTTCTTCTCAAATCTATATGTATCTGTTATGTGTTTTGACCAACAGAGAAAGGTGAAAGAATTGTTATATTATCTCTGGGGCTAGGTCCTAAAAGGGCATGCACTGAGCACTGTGGTCTTTTAAACTATCTTTATGGGATCGATCCAGTTGACAATGGCAGCGAAAGGAAAGATGAGAAGTCTAAGAGGAAGTGAATTTATGCTAAAAGAGGAGGAGCAATTTTGAAAAGGAAGGTGAGAATGGTTGCACAAGTTGAAGAATGTCATCAATATCATTAAAATATACATGTAGAAATTGTTGATCTGTTGGAATATTTTTCTGGGTATATATTCAATAACAGAAAATGAAATAAATCATTATTATTTTAAAAAGTCAAAAAAAATAAAAGAGAAAGAGATGGGGATAAGATTCTTATGATTCAATAGTAATTGTTATCATGACTAATTGAGACTGTCACAATTGTAAAGGTAGAAGTTTTGTAACAAAAACGGGGAGTAGTGGTTACGAACCGGGCCGCGAACCTTAAGGTCAGTGGTTCAAAACTACCAGCCGCTCCGCGGGAGAAAGACGAGACTTTCTACTCCCATAAAGATTTACACCCTCGGAAACTCTGTACAGGGTCGCTATGAGTCGGAACCGACTCGATGGCACTTAACAACAACAGCAGTTAATCTTACAGTCCAGCAACAGAGGACCCTAGGATCATCAAGGGAGAAGAGCACAAGTGGAATGTGGGACCTTATCCAGAGAAGCAGCGACACCAGAGATGGAGGCAGAGATGAGGACATGGAGAGAGGAAGCAGCTAAGGACTCTACATTCATGGAAAGAGAGGGACTGAGAGATGGCAGCCAGGAAGCAGACCTGCAGAATGTGCCCTTTGGCGGTTTAAATTATTATATACACCTGAGTGTTTTTGTTTTTTTTAAAAAAGCGCTAAAATGAATAGAGAGAAATGCTGTTAACTGATGGTACACGGAGGGGATTATAATCATTGTAATAAAACAAATTATATGATTTGTTGAATGTAAAACTGATGATCTGCCCTGTAAATTTTCACTCAAATCACAATAAAAGCTTTAAAAAAAAACCCAAAAAGCTATACTTCAGCAAAAAGGAAAATTAATCTTGATAAAAGGAATGAAAAACAAGAATCAATAATAAATAAAAGTAAATAAGGTATAACAGATAAACATGTCTGGGGAGGCAATTTAAAATCAAGAAGAAACTAAGATAAAAGATAAAAGACTAAAGATAAAATGGCCCAAGTTTAGATCTGAAAAGATAGAGAAACTGATCAGAGTTCTCAAAAGCAAGTACAAATGTTAAAAATTATAAAAATCACTTAAACTGAATTCAATACTTAGCCACATTATCAAAAGGGGTGGTAAAAATAAAGACACAACAGTCCAGTCTTAGTTGTAAAATTTCAAAAAAATTAATTTCCCAGTTAAAAGGATGATTATAGGAAAATACATCTAGATACATATACAGGAACACATCTACATTCATGGGCTAGTATGCAGACATACGTTATATATTCTCTAGCTGTCAACTGAAAGAGCCTAGAAGGAGTGGCGACCCATCAGTAGCATGCACACTTGGCATCCAAATTTATTTTGCAATACCATTCTCCAAAAGAAACCAAGATTTCCTTGAAGAAATGCTTGTATCGTATGCAATGGAAGGGAAAAGACAATATTAGCCAGGTGCATCTGATAGTGCCAAAAAAACACGGGAATATGTCGAAAGGTCACAGGGTCAGTCTGGAAGAAAGTCCAATGGTTAAAGCTAGGAAAATTTGAGCAACAGAAAAAATTTCACTAATACTGGAATATAAGCCTAAGAGTAAAATCAGTTCTTAATGATATAAACATCTGAATAAGTTCCTACTGAAACAAAAAAAAAAACAAAAACCGAATAAACAAATAGAAAAGAAGAAACAAATATTTCTTAAGAATACCAAAGAACAAATGTAGAAAGTGGGACCAAGAAAACCACCATCTGAACATGCCAGTAATAAGTGCTACAAGCCAAATCCATTGATACATGCTCAAAGCAGTGAGCTACACTTTAAAGAGGACTGCTGCTGCTGTTAAATACTGAGTCAGTTAAGCTTCACTTCCTGGAGCAGGGAGTATCAAAGACCTACAGTAATCAATAAATATTTTGTGTGGAATAGGTTGAGGAAATATTTTTAAAGAGGATAGTTGCAAAATATTTCCTCAACAAGTTCCCCACAAAATATTGATTGTTAGAGTGATTCTTAAGATACTCCCCGATTCAAGAAGTGAAGCTCAATTCCCCTCCCAAGTGACTGACTTCTAATAGAATAAAAAAGGGAAAAACAACATACTTTTAGAGTAGTGAAACCTGGCAGACAGCACAAGAACCAACTGAGCAAGGCTACCTTCACCAGTGATGAGCCGTAATGATATCATAGACCCCTAATAGGATGCCAGGAGACCAGCAATTCACTTCTGTGCTATTTTTCTTTAAAACCAATAATCTAACTCTGTACACAAAAAGACATCAGAAAAACCCATACTAAGGAAAGTTCTACAAAATATCTGTCAACAAAAGTCTCCATAAACAAATTCAAAAGCTAATCCATGGGTTTGGGAAAAAAAAAAATATCCCTTACAATGTTGAATTCCTCTGCCGCTGAGCCCATTCTAAGTCATAGCGACCTTATGGGCCAGTGGAACTGCCCCACAGGGTTTCTAAGGCTGTTTATAGGGAAGCAGACCACATCTTTCTCCAGTGGACTGGCTAGTGGGTGAGATTAGTCACCAAACTACTGCACCACCAGGGCTCATAATGAATCTTCAGTTCCTAGAAAATCTAAATTTTTAAAATATATTAGACAGTACAAAAACAAGATAAATAACTAAACAATCTCAATTTTTCAAATTCGCAAAAGATATGAAAATACCAAAATGGCCTATAAAAATTCTGTATACTCCCAAGATTAATTAGGAAATGCAAGTTAATGCCACAAAGTTGAAAAATTCACTAAAGGAGTCCTGGTGTGGCTCTGTGGGTTAATGCGCCAGACTGCAAAGCCATTTGAACTGCAAGGTTGGCGGTTCAAGCTCACCAGCTGCTCCTTGGAAACCCTATACAGGGTTGCAACTGACTCGACAGCACTTACCAACAAAGCATATAAGGCGCTCTGGTAGGGCAGTGGTTACTAGTCTGGCTGCTAAGCTCAAGGTCAGCAGTTCGAAACTACTAGCCATTCCACAGGAGAAAGATGAGGCTCTCTGCTCCTGAACAAATTTATAGCCTCAGAAACCCTATGAATTGGAACCAACTTCACGGCACACCACTACCACCACTAAAGCATATAAACATACTTACTTACTAAAACCAAAGTTGACTGATTGATCGCTGATTATTTCAAACTGCACAGGACGATCACCCATGCAATATTTTCTTAATAACTCCAGGCAGGTGTGTAACGTCTTCCTTGATGGCTTATTATCATGAAAAAGATCACCGCCTAATAAAATGAAATCCACCTGATCAACAGAAATGGGCTAAAATTAGTACCTCACAGGTAATTTTAAAACAGACAGAAAGAATGAAAAGAAAACAATACATCACAAAAAGGCACTAGTTATTTATGGGGACTTAAATTTTTCTTTTTTGTTGTTCAAAGGGCCTTGTAATCTAGTAATTCATCTGACTTCAACTTGGGTTCCTGAGTTACCTTCAAAAGAAAACAACTCCATCAATTTGATTCTGGCTCACAGTGACCCCATCTGTGACAGAGAACTATGCTCCATAGTATTCTCAATGATCGATTTTTAAGAAGTACATCACCAGGTCTTTCTTCTGTGGTATCTTTGGGTGGACTTGAACCTCTAACCTATTTGGTTTGTAGTTAAGCATGTTAAATGTTGCACCACACAAGAAATCCACTTTCAAATAAAAACACCAAACCAAACCCCCTGCCATCGGGTGGATTCTAACTCATAGTGTCCCTACCAGACAGAATAGAACTGCCCCTTGTTATAAATATTTCTAGGAGCAGACACCCTCCTCTTTCTCCAGAGGAGCAGCTGGTGTGTTTGAACCCCAATGCTTAACCCACCATGTCATCAAGAGTCCTTCACTTTCAAACAAAAGCCACCTTCAAATTGCTATACCAAGTCCTTGACTCATGCTTGCCAAGGTGAGATATCTTTTTTATGATTCAAATCAAACAAACTTAGCACTTCAATTGAAACTAGACAAGATATCCAAATCAATTCACTTGAATTGAATTTATTTATAGAGTACCCACAGGCTCTGAGAGCTAAGGAAACAGCAATAAATAAAACAGATGATGCCTCTGCTCTCATTAAATATCAAGGATGAACCTGAGGATATAATGTAGAATAAAATATGAATTCTACTGTAAATATGTTCCAAATCTAATGGAAGAAACAAACTGCTATGTACCTAAACACAAGTCAGACTCTGACACACACCAGAATGGATATGCAAACAAAGCAGGAGAAATGACATTACAATGAATTCTAACTGAGGAAAGGAAAGGCTGATCTAACATGCAGACACTGGTTGCACTAAAAAAGGTATCTAAGATTTTAAGGAAGAACATTTTAGGAACAGCATCAGTAAACAAAGGAAATTATTGTTATTAGGCTATGTTGGAAAAAGTGCAGCCAGAATTCTCCTTAGAAACCAGGATGGCCAGACTTCTTCTCATACTTTGGACATATCATCAGGAAGGACCAGTCTCTGGAGGAAGACATCACAATAGAAAAAGTGGAAGACCCCCCAAAGAGATGGACTGGCACAGCAGCAGCAGCAGCAGTGAGCTCAAGCATAACAAAAATTGTGAGGTGGGTGCAGGACTGGACAGTGCGTCATTCAGTTGTGCATAAAGTCACTATGAGTCTGTACTGACACAATGGCACCTAACAACAGGTGCCATGAAATCAGTTCTAACTTATGTACAACAGAATGAAACACTGCCCGGTCCTGTGTCATCCTCACAATTGTTGTTATGCTTGAGACTATTGTTGCAGGTACTGTGTCAATCCACCTCATTGAGGGTCTTCCCCTTTTTCACAGACCCTCTACTTTATTGAGCATGATGTCCTTTTCTAGGGATTGGTCTTCCTGATAACATGTCCAAAGTTATGTGTGGTCTCACCATGCTCTATACTAAGGAGCGTTCTGCTGTATTTCTTCCCCAGAAAGATTTGTTCATTCCTCTGACAAGGCGTAGTCAATATTCTTCACCAACACCATAATGCAAAGGTGTCAATTCTTCTCTGGTCTTCCTTATTCCTTGTCCAGATTTCACATGCAAGGAAGCAACTGAAAATACCAAAAACTTGGGTCAGGTTCACCTTAGTACTCAAAAGTGGTATCTGTGCTTTTTAAAAACACTTAAAAGAGGTCTTTTGCAATAGATTTGCCCAATGCAATATATCATTTGATTTCTTGACTGATGCTTGCTTGAGTGTTCGACTGTGGATCCAAGTAAAATGAAATCCTTGACAATTTCAGTCTTTTCTTCATTTATAATGACATTGTTTATTGGTCCAGTTGTGAGGAACTTTTCCTTTACACTGAGTTATAATCCATACTGAAGACTGTTGTCTCTGAGTTTCATCAGCTAGAGTTTCAAGTTCTCTTCCCTTTCAGTAGGCAAGGTTGAGTCATCTGCATGTTATCGGTTGTTAATAAGCCAAGCTCCAATCCTTATGCTGTGTTTTTCTTCATATAGTCCAACTTCACATAGTTCAGGAGGGAAATTGCCCAGAGGGAAAAAAAACAGTCCAGCACACATTCACTGTCATCAAGTGCACAATTTATCTAGAGAAACTGAAGTTCTTAATTATCCAATATATCTGTGGGCTAGAGGGTTCAGAGAAACTGTCATCAGAAATGTAGTGGTTTAAGTGAGCCCTTCAGGAATGAACAAGACTTAAGTGAGAGAAGAAAATAATACTAATCAGAGGCATGAAGACACAAAAACAACAGAACAAACCCTAAACTAACTCGTGACTCTAGGCAACGTTGAGAAGGGCACAACTCCCTGATATGGCATTCCCTAAAGCCAGAATTTCACCATGTGTGTCAAAGCCTATATGCACAGAGAAACACCAAAAAGCAATGCACAGAAGATACTGATTGTGAGCAGATACAACTGGAGTCGGCAGCATCAACCCTGACATATTGAAGAAGGTGCTGTGGTGAGGGAGAGTGAAGATGGGTTATATATAGTCATGGCCATGCAATTTCTCAGGGGCTAGCAGCAGCGTTGCATGGTAACATACAGGACCGCAAGGTCATTTCTGAATGGCAAGGATGGCAGTTCAAACCCCAAAAACACTACCCAAAATGGGTAGTTCTGAGTCAGAACGGACTCCACGGCACTTAACAACAAGCCAGAGCACATGAAGGGTCCCAGGGTTGGCTGGTTGTAAAAAGGGCATGTCACAACATTTCCCAATTCGAATCTGGATTTTGTTTTTTTCTCAAAACTGGCTACCGTTTGAGTTCTTTAAATGAGCCCAAAAAGGTGGTAGGTAGTCCTGAATGGAATCCCGGACACCACCTCTCCAACTCCAAACTGCTTTCAGTGACACTGTGAGGGTAATGGGCAACATTTTAAAATTACACAGTGTACGGACTGAGTGTACTAGAGTCCTGTGGCACTGTGGGTTAATGAGCTGGACTGCAAAGTTGGTTTGAACTGAAAGGTAGGTGGTTCAAGCTCACCAGCCGCTCCTCAGAAACCCTATACAGGGTCGCCACGAACTGGAACCAACTCGACAGCACTTAACAACAACAACTGAGTGTGGCACTGTAGGGTAAAGAGTCTAAACCACAATGTCAGTTAGTTCCAACTCGCCAGCCACTCCTCATGCATGACAGCATGGATCTACCAACCTAAACAAAATGGAGTCAGTTTAGTCATTGTTGTTAAGTGTCACAGAGTTGGTTCTGACCCATAGCAACCCTGTATAGGTTTTCCATGGAGCAACTGGTGAGCCTGAACCACTGACCTTGAAGATCAAACGGCTTTGCAGTCTGGCGCATTAACCCACAGCGCTACACCAGGACTCCAGTTTAGTCACTGTTGTTGTTGTTGTGTGCCATGGAGTCAGTTCCGACTCATAGCGACCCTGTACAGGGTTTCCGAGGCTGTAAATCTTTACGGGAGCAGAAAGCCTCATCTTTCTCCCACGTTTCAAACTGCTGACCTTAAGGTGCACAGCCCGATTCATAACCACTACACTACCAGCGGTTTTGATAAATGAAGACCCTGCAAATGGGGAAGTTAGTTTAAAAATTATCTGAGATGACCTCATGGTCCTAGAAGGAGAATGGATCAAGATGTGCTTAAGCCCACCTAGATAGTTATCTCAGGAACTGAGCAGCTTAGACCCTAAAAGATAGAATGTTTAACAAGGGTCATTGCCTGATTGTTCTTCCCCGCCCCCCAAGAAAGATGCTATCCTGATGTTAAACAAAATAAGTGTACATCCAAATGTAACTTACCCTATATAATGTGCCCGCTCTTCATAATGGACAGGATGGTCCTGAGAGACTATTCTCTCCGTCCTTCAGACTGCTGTCTTTTTGCTAATAAAGCTTGGATTTGATCTCTCCCCAACTCTGTGACTGACTACAGTAACAGGTGGCAAACCCTGCTTTCGGTTTGGCAACACTCAGAAACCCTCTACTGGGTCACTATGAGTTGGAACCTCAGTGTGGTTTCCAATTCATGCTACACCCTACTGCCAGGCTTTTCATAGAGTACCAACTCCTCAATCTAGGCGTTGAAGACCTCTTTATTTAAAGTACTCAAATATGCATGCAGAGCCTTTCAGGATGCTTTCTACCCCATGGTTGTCAGGAAGAACTCTGTTTCCCTGTAGTTTGCTGTTGTTGTTAGGTGACATTGAGTCAGTTCTGACTCATAGTGATCCTAGGCACAACATGATGAAAAACTGCCTGGTCCTAAGTCATCCTCACAATTGTTATGTTTGAATCCATTGTTGCTGCCACGGTGCCAATCCAACTCATGAGGGGGGCAGTCTTCCATTTTTCACTGACCTTCCAGTTTACCAAGCATGACGTCCTTCTCCAAGGACTGGTCCTGCCTGACAACATGTCCAAAGTATAAGAGATGAAGTCTCATCATTCTTGCTTCCAAGCAAGTTCTGTCTGTACTTCCAGGATGGATTTGTTTGTTTTTCCAGCAGTCTATGGTACTTTCAATAGTCTTCACTAACAATATAATTCAAATGCATCATTTCTTCTACTGTCTTCCTTATCTACTGTCTAACTTTCACATGATTATGAGGTGACTGAATATATCATGGCTTGTGTCAGAAGCACTTTAGTCCTCAAAGTAACACCTTTAAAGAGACCTGTTTGCCTAACTTACCTCACATTACCTTCACTATGCTGTTACTCCTGCTGGCATGTGCATTCTCTACGCTCTTCACATGTCAAAAGCCTACCCATCCCTCAAAACCAAGCTAAATGACACAGTCTTTATTAAGTTCATCTGGCTAATCTCATTTAAATATGATCTCTTCTCCCTCTAAGCCCCAGGAAATGATGTGCATAATTTTCTTATCACCTGTACCTTGCATCAAAGGTTTCTGAATATTTGTCTTATCTCACTTACTGGTTTGCTATATGCCACTGAGCAGAAACTCTAACAGTCATATCATCTCTAACAGAAACAATCACAGGATCCTACACACAGTTGCTGTGAAATGCCATCGAGGCGTTTCCAACTCATAGCAACACTGTATAGGATTTCTGAGGAGTAGCTGGTGAATTTGAACTGCCAGCCTTGCAGTTAGCAGTCCAGAGCTTATCCTACTCCAGGACTATTATATATGGTAAACACCCCATAAATGTGTATTTGTACATTTTAATAGTTTTTTTTTTACAAAAGCAATTACCTACTTCAATTAAGGATGCAAAAGGACACAAAATCTACTTTGGGCTTTTTGTTGTTGCTGTTGTGAAGTGCCGTAGAGTGGGTCCCAATACTGATATTTAAACATGCAATGTGAGCATGACAGCCTATAAAACAAACCTCTAACTTTAGAAGAGAAAGGGGCTTGCAGACTAAGGAAATAGAAAAATATTCAAAAATAAACTCACTTCATTTTCCTGTGCAAGTCTTAAAATTTCATCAAATGTTACAAATGTATCATTTCCTCTGACTGCATCTTTCTCCATAAATCCAAGGTGAATATCCGTCGCCACTAAGATTTTAAATGTATTTTCATCATCACTGTATTAAAAAACAAGAAAGGTTTCAATATGATTCCATAAAGTGATGTCCAAGCAAATCGACACCTAAACACTTAGGATAAATAGCAGCTGTAGAGTAAAATCAGTTTTCTAGCCTGAAACTTGATCTGAAAATTGATGATTTTCAACAAATCTTCAAGTCATATAATTTTCCCACACACTTCCTCAATATAGTAGAAATGCACATGAACTTTAAAAAGGTTTTATGTCTTCAAAATTGTACAGCCATGCTATAACCAGTTTTATACATTCATATCACCACCGCTAAAATTCACCAGACAGCAAGTAGAAATAATACGGTAACCTGGATGAGAAAGCTTGTTTCCATTCATGTCCACAGCAAAAAAGCCCCACAAGAATTGTTTCCCTGTTATTTAACAGATTTTTCACTTTTCAAAGAAACTCAAGTAAAGTAGTTAATTCAGAAGCCCTTCAGAAATAGATTTTACACTAACATGCTAATAACTTACATTCAGGCCCTAAAGGACACTTGCTTTGCTCAACTCCCTATACATGAATTTTGCATTAAGTTGAACAGCCACTGTAATAAAACAGAATTATTCACAATTCAATTTAAATCAGACGCCTGGTGGTAATGTGAATAAGTGCTCCCTGCTAATCAAAATGACTGAGGTTCCCTACTTACCTGCTGTTCCACAAGAGACAGATAAGGCAGTCTGCTTTGATAAATAAAATTGCATTGGCTATCAAGCCTTGGAAACCTTATGAGACGTTTCTACTCCAAAACACAGTTCTCTGTCCTACATGAGTCTACACTGAATAGATGGCAATGGGTTTTCAGTATTCAAAGACATTTTCAGTAGAATCATAAGCAAAAAGTAAACATAACGTAACTTTTAATTCTTCAAAAGGTTTTTGTATCTATAATCGCATCTTAACTTCTACATGTAAACAAGTAGGCATTATTTCTGAAAAATAAGACCAACCCAACCTCACTGCTATCAGGTGGATTCCAACTCACAGTGACCCTACAGGATAGAAGAGAACTGTTCCCAAGGGTTTCCAAGGACTATAAATCTTTAGGGAAGCAGTGACCC